ACCTGTGGGTTTTCTTGCACTTGACCGCAGTTGGGCCTCACATGGCCCTCAGTTTTACGTGCTGCAGCCTTTGCTACCGGCTCTTAGCTTGGCGTCTGAGCACTTACAGCCTCCTAGGTTCGGAGCCCCATTGTGCCTGCCCTCCTCATTTGCTCTGTTGAGTGTAGACGCCCCTGTGCTGTCAGGGACTGTGAAGACTTAAGATCTACCCCCGTGGATCTTTGGCCCCCAAGAAGATGCCAGAATAAGAGCACACCTGCCAGGACACTCCTCATTCCAACACTGATACCCACATCCCTTTTGGCACCTGACGAGGCGTGCCGCGAGAGCGGGGCCGGGGGCCGTGCAGACGCACGCACGGAGCAGCCCGCTTAGGCCACGCGTGTGCGTGTGTTTCTTGCAGGGGAAACAGAAGTACACTCTTCCGCTGTACCACGCGATGATGGGTGGCAGCGAGGTGGCCCAGACCCTTGCCAAGGAGACCTTCAAAGCCACCGCCCCCCAACTCCACAGCAACGTTGTCAACTACGTCCAGCAGATCGTGGCGCCCAAGGGCAGTTAGAAGCTCGTGGGCATGGCCTCTGCCTCCTCAGACTTCGCAGGCTTTCAGAATACTGTTCCCAAATTCCAGTTCTCCGGTCAAATTCCTGAAGTTTACACACCCTCGGAAAAATCTGTTCTCTGGCTTGGGGGCTGCGACTCTTGGGCCTCTGCGTTGGTGGGAACTTCTCTGGACCGGGAAGTCCTGAGACCAGAGAACCTTCCACAGCTCTCTACTGCAGGCTGCTGGCTGTGGCAGTTTTCTCCCCCTCTCCACTCTCTGGGAAGAGCAGAGAGGATTTTCTGGTCCTTTCTCTTCCCTTCTCTTCCCTCTCCTTTTCTTTCCTTTCCTTTTCTGAGTCTTGAAGTACTGTGCAAAGGGCTGCATTCTGGGAATTCTTTTTTTTTTTTTTTCCAGGTTTAATCTTTATTTTAATAAATATTTTTAAGTGAAAAGTATTTGAGTCAGAGTTACAACCTGAGTGATTGAAATTTCTGCTTCCATGCACGCCCTCTGTGGGCAAGTAGTCTGAGCAGGTCACTGGGGACCCCCCCCCCAGAAGCTGACAGCACTTTCCTGCCCGTAGGGAACCCCCAGGGTCAGGAGGTAGGGGTCCCACACACACAGAGATGAAAACATACACAGCGGTATGGCTGAAGCACACCTGTAGCAAATGAACTTCATTCCAGTTCTCTCTAAGGCAGCTAAATTCTCTACCCGTGGCGCCATTCCTGTTCATCCATTCCATTGCTTAAAAAATGTGCATTTTAGTGATTTTTCTCCGGCCTTCTCACAGTCCCTGGGGCTTCACCGGGACTCCCCTGCTTTTGATCCTGGATAAGTATTTTAATGATGTGGTAATAAATAGAGTCTGCCCAGAACTTTGGCACTAAGTTCTGCTTTCCTGGTTTCAACATGGGGATCTAAGCAGTTAGCAGCTTGGATTTGGGGTGTGGGATGAGGGGAGAGTCGTGAAAAAATATTTAAATATGTTGAAGCTGCCTTTCAGGCACAGGAATACAAGGCACTCCTGACCATTGTGGCTGTGTCCTTGGCTTTGAGGTTGTCCATTCGGGCCTCCCTTCCCTGCACAGGGGTTGGGAAAGAAAACACAGCATAGCCACTGAAATAGATTTGTTCTTGCTCTTAACCAGAGGAAGGGAATGGTGGTGACCAGGTGGCAGGCCAGTGAGGCCTCTGTCCCCTGGCACACCCAGAGCTTCACCAGCAGAGAGAGAACTTTGGGTCTGAGGAGAGGGATTTGGAGGCCCAGGACTGTCAGAGCTGTGGTAGGCCCTGACACTTTGATGGCAGACTGTCTCCATGGTTCTTTCGAGGCTGTTCCTGGTGCTGTGCTATCGGCAAGGATGATTTTAGGGCCATCCAGATGCCCCACTTACCCCCTGGCTCGGAGTCTGCTTTACCAGCTCTGAGAACAGTGGCTGTCTTTCCTTGTTTGCACAAGAACGTATGGCATGATAGTTCTAGTAATAGTAATGGCGAAGAGTCTCCGTGGAAGCAGAAGGCTGGAAAGGTCTTCCTCTGATGGCTGCTCTTTGACCCCACTAACTTTGTGAGCCCTCACATTGCACAGTATGGGGATCCTGACTTGTGTCGCCTGCCCTGCTCACCACCTTTGCCACTCAGCGGTCCTGCCGGATGTGCCTGTCCTTTTATAGGGCTGTGAGGCAATGCTCTGGCCATCCGTGTCCGAGAGATGAGGCAGTGCCATTGTCCCTGCAAGCTCACGGGGAGGGGTCTTCTTGCCATTGGCAGGGAAGGCCTCTGCCTCCTACTCCAGGGCTCCTCTGACCACTATCCTAGAACCTTCTCCCACTCCACCTCCAAGGCACTGACCTCAAACTGCAGTCTTTTCCCCCTACCATCCGCAATAACATCACCTGCTATTGGGCTATTGAAGGCATTCATACTTGGAGATAAGGCTCTAGCCTATAGAGATTCCTTATCTCAGCCCCATTTCTTTTGTGAAGCCCTGGGAAGGCAAAGGAGCTGATATCCTTTCTTATTCTCTCCACATCCTTCTCATCCCACCCTCTGGAGCCTTAGCCAGGTGTCCTCCAGGGCAGGGGAGCATGTGAGCAGTCCTCGGGCTAGAAGCCGGTTCTCCCACATTCCAGGGTGAGTGACTGGGTGGAGGGTGTGCCCGCCTCCGGCTCCTTGGGGGAGGCCCCCTGAAGGGCTGGGGAAAAATCCTACCACCAGAGCCCCAGGCTTTCCTGCCACCCCTGGCCTACTGGAGGGGGCCCTGGACCCTGAGCCCCTCTCCTAGGTGCCCAGCAGTTTCGGACAAAGAGGAGAAGATTCCTGGAGATGGACTTCTGAGTCCTCTGGCTGTAGAGTCAAAGAAGGGGCAGCTCTGGAGGTGGAGCCACCATTTGTTTGAGTAACCATTTCACCCACTGAGGCCGAGCTTGGTCACCAACCACCCAGGGTTGTGGCGTTAACAAAGGAAGTGGGGAAAGAGATACTTCTATCCCTACGCTTTAGATGCATAAAAAACTAGAGCTGGAAGAAATCTTAGGGATTATTAAGTCCAAAAAGCCTTGTCTTTACACGTGGGGAGACCAGCAGAGTCGCACAGCTGGGGAGTCACCTGAACACAAGTCTCCTGCTTCCTGCCCATCCTATACTGCCCGTGCTCAGGCTCTCCAGTGGGGTTTGCATTCACAGACGGGACCACAGACATGAAGGACTCACTGTGCCCGTAGGGAGGACAAGGGTCTGGCCGAGCAGCCGAGCGGGAGGACCCTGAAGCCAGGATACACACGGTATCTGGAAAGAGCCCCAGCCGGTGGGTGACTGACTCAGCCCCACCACTTAACCAGCTCTGTGTGCGCTGGGCAAGTCATGAAACCCCTCTGAGCTACGATTTGCTCATCCACAAAATGGGAACAATCTTACATTCCTTACAGCGTTGCTGTGAGGAATAAGTGGAGACTATGTTACAAGTGCCTCGCAAATGGTAAATACCGAGCGGTCCCTTCATGGAATGCCGTGACCCAGGGAGCCAGACTTCTGGCCACTAGAGGGTAGCAGACAGGTACTAGTCAACTGGACCGAGGGTGTGGAGCCCAGGAGACTGGACGGAGGAATAAACAGGGCCACGAGGATTCCAGCACCTGCAGCAGCCCCGAGGCTCCAGGGACTCCGGCAGGGGCTTAGGGACAGCCAGGCCTCTCCAGAAGGGGCTGCAGCGACCCTGATGATTGCATAGGGCCCAGGTAGGCAAAGCAAGCCAAGACTTTACCACCAAAGGAGATGCCCGTAGGGTGGGTCCTATGGGAACTTTGGGGACAATGGGGCCTTGAGGCTAGGCTGGCAGTCACGGCCCCCACCCGGTATGAGCCCATGAATATGGCCTAGGCCTGGAGAGGCTTCCTGCCCTAATCCTGTGTGTTGTAAGAAAATTCCCTAGACCACACGATTTGCTCTCCCTGCTAGGCACCCTTGTCCACAGTTCTCCACCCATTTGGGGGACCAGCAGCCTTCCGACCCAGTTCTACCAGGTTCCCCTCCCCCTTCCCCTCATAGCCCATCCCTGGCCTGGCCCCCCTGAGGAATTTCCTGCGCCAGAGGATGGCCGAAAGTACAGATGCCCACCCCAGCAACTCTCCTGCCACCCGCCCAGGCCAGTGCCCTGTGCCCAACCCCAGAGGGTGCGACATGACAGACTCTGACAATCATTAAACCAGCCGGGCCTGATTTCCCAGCACCGCCTGCTAGGATCCGGGCCAAGTGGCACAAAATATGCAAATCACCTGGGGCCAGAAGCCCAGTCTAAAGGCCAGGAAATCCCCTCCGTCCAATGAGCCACCAGCTCAGGTTACCGCCAGGCGCACTATAAGGGCCCGGCTCGGGGAGGAGCTCCCACTCGCCTCTATTTAGGGCGGGTGGGGGAGTGCGGGCCAGACCTACCTGGTGCAGCTTTTAGCCTCCTGGATTTCTCGCCGGCCCGCTGTCCCTTAATCCTGCCTGCCTGCCACACCCACACCCCGCCACTCAGGTAGGACCCCCCACCTGTCGTATTCCCCAGCCTGGGTCCTGAGAGGTCAAGTGGATGGTTAGTTCTAAACCCACCCACTGCAGCTCCGCATCATAGAGCCCCCCTGAGCAGGAGTGTAGGGCAGTGGGGGTGTCCTGAAGGTCGCCGAGGCACCGTCTCTGGGAGGGACAGAGTGGCCCTGACTCTGCCAGTCCCACTCAGGGACCCAGGTGGGCCGGGGGTGGGGGGGTGCCCAGCAGGCAGCCCAGTGCCCACACCGTGCTCTGAAATCTTGAAGCCCTCTTGAAGAGATGGTGTCCAAAGAGATACTGACCTTCAGTCCCCTGCGCCCCTAGGGGCTCCTTCTGCCCCAGGCTTGGCTAGAACAGAAGAGCTAGAGGGGAAAGGGAGGACCCTGGTCCTCACCAGCCTCGGCCTCTCTCCCCAGGTAGCCTCATGGCTGCAACCTGTGAGATTAGCAACGTCTTCAGCAACTACTTCAGTACTATGTACAGCCCGGAGGAACCCGCCCTGGCTTCTGTTCCCACTGCGGCCACCTTTGGGGCTGAGGACCTGGTGCTGACCCTGAGCAACCCCCAGATGCCACTGGAGGGCCCAGGTGGGTCTCAGCAGGTGGGATGGGGAGAGACAGAGACATCCCTCTAAGAACCTGTTAGATAGATGGAGACTTCGGGTGGGGAGGAGGGTCCCCCCAGCAAATTCCAGCGCTAGGGGCATGGGGTGGCTTGTAAGAGGCTGAGGTGTTGGGGTTGAGGGGCAGTGCCCGGCTAAGTGAGGTGCTGGGCGAGGGTGCTGCGAACCCCATCTCCCGCCCCTCCTCCTGGGAGGCTCCTCTGAGAGGTGGGGCGGGGGGGGGGATTCACACAGAAACCCAGATGGGCACCAGAAATGGGCTGTGAGGGGCCGGGTGGCTCGAGCTGACCTGACGCTGTGCCCGGCCTCTTGTAGAGAAGGCCAGCTGGTCGGGGAAGCAGCCCCAGTTCTGGTCAAAGGCCCAGGTTCTGGACTGGATCAGCTACCAAGTGGAGAAGAACAAATACGACGCCAGTTCCATTGACTTCTCACGGTGCGACATGGACGGGGCCACGCTCTGCAACTGTGCCCCCGAGGAGCTGCGTCTAGTCTTTGGGCCTCTGGGGGACCAACTCTACTCCCAGCTGTGGGACCTCAGTGAGTCCAGGCCTCCTCCTGCCCTTGTCTCCCTCTCGGTTGGGAGGCTGCTCTAGGGACCGGCCCACACCCTAGGCTGAGGTCAGCATGGCTGTGGGAAGGACCCGGAGCCCCAGGCCAGTGGGCACAGATAAAGAACCGCTGAGGGGCGAGGGGACCGTGCGATGCCAGCCTGGCCTCTGACCCCTCCTCCCTTCCTCATCAGCTTCCAGCTTTCCCGATGAACTCAGCTGGATCATTGAGTTGCTGGAGAAGGACAGCATGGCCTTCCAGGAGACGCTGGGCCCCTTCGGTGAGAAGCCATTTTCTCACTCCTTCCCCTAGCTTGTCCCATCCCGTCTCTGCCTCTCCCCAGAGCACTGGAGCTGACCCTCTGTCACCAGACCTCTGTCTCCCCTGGCTAGAAAAGCAGCAGGTCATTAGACCCCTGGGGAGCTCAGTGTCCCTGCCTGTTCCTCCGAGCTCTGTCTGAACCCTGACCTCTTCCCAGACCAGGGAAGCCCCTTCAGCCAAGAGGTGCTTGAGGAGGGCCGGCAGGCCAGCTCCTACTTCCCCGGCAGCTACGGCACCGGGGCCCCTTCCCCCGGCAGCTCCGATGTCTCCACTGCAGGTAAGCACCCTCGTCTGGGCCACAGGCTCCCTTTCCCCCAAACACTCCTGCCTGAGCCCTTGGTTCCCGCCACTAGAGCCCAGGCTTTCTGGGGCAAATAGGAGCTGGCTGGGTAGCGTGTCCTGAGACCCTCAGTGGCCCATCCCCCGGCAGGCGTGGGCTGGCAAGGGGACTCACTGTGACCCCACCGCCCCTAGGGACTGGTACTTCCCAGAGCCCCCACTCCTCAGACTCCGGTGGAAGTGATGTGGATCTGGATCTCACCGACAGCAAACTCTTCTCCAGGGGTGAGTGGAGGGAGCCTCCTGGTCCCCGGGAGGGTGTCCCAATGGGCAGTGCCCACGGGGCCGGTCCTTGCCCTCTTCCCTGCTCTCCTGTAGGGTTTTCCTCCGCAGAAGAGCTGCCCCTGAGAGCCCCAGTTCCCTCCCCTCTGACCTTCCACCTCCCCTCTCTTAGACGGCTTTCCTGACTATAAGAAGGGGGATCCTAAGCACGGGAAGCGGAAACGGGGTCGGCCCCGAAAGCTGAGCAAAGAGTCTCGGGAGTGTCTGGAGGGCAAGAGGAGCAAGCACGGTGAGCTTCTGGGGTCACCCCCTTTGTGCTGAGGCCTGGGGGGCGGGGTGGGGGGGCGCTGCTGGTGCTTTTTTCTCCCGTGATCGCTGGCCGTCCACGCTGCTCCTCCCTCCCGCCGTCATGGCTGTGCGCAGGCCCAGGGCTGTGTGGCACCTAATGGCAGGGCCTAGGTTGGTGGTCCTGGATAGGAGGGGGAAACTGAGGCTCCTGGAGGAAAGCCCATAGGACCAGAGCCCAGGTTACCTGCCCACCCACTCCAGTTCTCTCTGCACTTGGCTCTGTCCTGCCCGCTGGGACACCCTTGGTGGTGTGAGGAGGCAGCTGGTGGGTGTTGGGAGGGCCCAAAGGGCCGCAGGGGGCTCAAGCAGAGGACTGTGCCCCGTCTGCAGGCTGGACGCGTGGGCCTCAGGCACCACTGGGTGATGGCCCCGAGCTCCTTCTTGCCTCTGCTTTCGCGCATGCAGTCTCCCTCCCCCTACGCGCTAGGCCTGGCTTGCTTCTTGTCTTCAGGGAGCTATTTTTTCCCGGGAAGCTGTCCCCTTGTCCCCCCGGGCTGGGGCCGCCGGCTCCCCGGTCCTGTCCTCGCCAAGTTCTCACCACCTGTTGGCGTGTTTGCTTTTTAACGGCGGCCCCCACTGAACCGTGGGCTCCTCGAGGGCAGTAGTGCGTCTCAGTCACTCTCCCATCCCAGCCAGATGTTTGAGCAATATTTGAGCGAGTAAGACATCTGTGCCGTGTGAGACGTGGTCCCCGACTGGTGGTGGGGGGAGGCGGGAGGGAACCAGCCCTTACACCACACAGGCATCAGGAGGCTGTGTGCCGGGACAGATAGGGCCCCCCGGCCTCGGAGGAGAGGGGTCCCCCCCCTGGACTGCTGACTGACGGATGCGTCTGGCCTTGTAGCCCCCAGAGGCACCCACCTGTGGGAGTTTATCCGGGACATCCTCCTCCACCCGGAACTCAATGAAGGTCTCATGAAGTGGGAGAACCGGCAAGAGGGTGTCTTCAAGTTCCTGCGATCAGAGGCCGTGGCCCAGCTTTGGGGCCAGAAGAAGAGGAACAACAGCATGACTTACGAGAAGCTGAGCAGAGCCATGAGGTGAGCAGGTGGCCGGGGTCCTCGTGACCCAGCCAGACCCTGGGGGACCTGCCGAGGCTGCCGGGGACAGCTCACCTGTGCTCCCACGGCCCGCTCTCCGACCACTGCCATAGTCTGGCAGGTTTGCGTCCTGTAGAGTGAGGATAAGAGCAGTGTCCGCCGCTGTCACGGACTCAAGGAGGGCATGGAGAAAGTAGGCTGGTGCAGCAAACACCAGAAACTCTCCGTGACAACATTTCTTTGCGCTCCCTGCAAGCTCGTCCTGAGAAAAGCTCTCCGTGGTGAAAAGAGCATGAGCTGAGGCCCACACCAAGACCTGGCTCTCCTTAAGTTGCCTGTCTAGACCTCGGTTTCCCCCTGAATTGCCACTAAGGGCGCTTCCAGCCCTAAAATCATGTGGTTTCGTGATCAGCCCTGGGACCCAGCCATAAGATCTAAACGAGCAAGGGTTAAGACCAGGGGCTTCGGACACCATTCTAGGCCAGAGTGCCACGATGGAGCAGAACAGCTCCTTCTTGCAGGAGGGAAGAAAAGAAAAGCTACAGGAAGTGGATCAGACTCCTGTTGCTGGGGCTGGAGCCCAGGGGGACAGGTCACCTGAGGATAGCTGGGCCAGGTGGAGGAAGATATCCGCAGTCCAAGACGGCTCCCCACCCGGGTACCTCTGACCACCCTTCTTCCCGCCCAGGTACTACTACAAACGGGAAATCCTAGAGCGGGTGGATGGCCGGCGGCTGGTCTACAAGTTTGGCAAAAACTCTAGTGGCTGGAAGGAGGAAGAAGTTGCCGGGAGTCGGAACTGAGGGTCGGAACGAGACCCAGGACCAAACGCAAGGACTTGAGGCCTGCGGCCCCTCCTGGGAAGACCAGCAGGTCCCAGCATCTGGGCAATGCTCCGGCTGTGCTGCGGAGAGAAGCTGTGAGGCTCTGGTATCCTGTCAGCCACCGTCCTCGGATCCGGGGCCTGTGGCCTCTCCTCTCTGCCCTCTTCTTGGAATTACAAGCCCTGGGGTTTGAGGTGACTCGTCTTGCTGACTTGTCTGCAAGTGTAGCTTCTTTTACCTGGTGCCTCCTCAGACCCAACCCAGACACCGGCTACGGACAGCACCTTCCTCCTCCAGATGCCCGGACTGAGCCGAGGAGGCCAAGGGAAGCACCAGGAGTGCTGTGAGAGGGGACAGGACGGGGTCCTCCTGAACCTGCTTTCTGGACTGCCTTCCACCTCCGTGCTTGGACTCTGCAGGCAGGGGTCAGAGCACTCCCTAATTTATGTGCTATAAATACGTCAGATGTACATAGAGATCTATTTTTTCTAAGACATTCCCCTCCCCGCTCCTCTCCCACCACATGTTAGTGGCCAGACCGACTGACTGTTTCGGCCCTTGGCCGGGCCGATGAGGGGCAGGGAGATGCCAGGCCCCTGAGGATGGGGCTCCTGGCTCCTTTTTCCTGTGAATGGAGGTAGAGACCTCCAATAAAGTGTCTTCTGGGCTTTTTCTAACCTTTGTTTTAGCTACCTGTGTACTGAAATTTGGGCCTCTGGATTGGATAAGGTCATGGGGTTGAAGGAGAGGAGCCAGGACAGGAGGTCTACAGGGCTAGAGGTGAAGGCAGAAGCAGGCTTGCAAGGTAGGGATGGATTTCCTAGATCTGGAGGGTTGGGTTTACAGACCGGCTGCCTGGGGGCTGGGAGGAAAGCAAGGGAAGCAGGCCAGGCTGTTGCGGGCTGAGAAAGCTTCGCAGGATTTCTGCAAGCTAGGGCATGAGCTCAGCCTGCTGAACACTGGGCCAGTCGTGCTGCAGCGACTCGTTCCCCCAATGACCTTGGCCATGTCAGCCCCCTGGGCTCACTTGCTTGCTATAAATCTGGGGTTTGGTCCCCGGTGCTCTCTAAGAAGTCTAAAATTGCATATCCAGCCTTGTGGGATAGATGCTTCAGCATTCTGGGCAGGTTGGCCACAAACTGGGAAAACAAAATGAATCCCTTGATGAGGAAGAATGGGGGAAGGAATAGACATTTGCCAGCCTCGTGTATGCCAGGCACTGAGCCAGACAGCACTTTATCGCACATAATCTTGCCCCCCCCCCGCCCCAAATGAGATTTGTCATTCCCATTTTACAGATGCGGAAGGTGAGGTCCAATAGGGCCAGTGTCTCGGCCAAGGTCGCTAGGACAGTACTTTGGTGCCATAGTAGTAGCCTGTCCTTGGGAGCATTGTCAGGGTTCGGGCTCTGCTGACGTAATCCTCAGTAGATTCCAGAACTGTGTTACTCTGTCTCCACAGTGATATTGCAGCAGGTTTTAGAGAGGACGTTTTACTGATAGGTGTATGTATGGTTCCTTATAAAGATGATCTTCCAGTGGAAATTTCCTGAAGTCTGAGGCTTCAAATTCCACAGAGCACAACAAAAAGGCATTTCGTAAGTTTGAAATGCTGCTTAGTTGCCTTCGAAATAACCGATTATTAGCTGAAGGATGCGGGTAAGGAAGGGAACTTAGAAAACCGGACGTGTGTGTGCGTGTGTATGTGTGTGTGTGAGTGGGGCTTGCTCTGGAGGAACAAGGAATAGTAGAAAGGAAAGCGGAGAAGTTGGCTGGAGAAAGTAGTGGGGTCCTTAAAGAAGCTGGACTCTTCTGGAGCCATTTTGGACAAAAATTTTCCTTTTGCTGCTGGTACCAGCAAGTTAGTCGAAGAGAGTAAGGGGAAGGATTAGCCTCAAATCGACCTGGCTTCCGTGCTGGCCAGACCACTTCTCAGCCGGGGAGCCTTTGGCAACGTCACCTAATGATCTCATTTCTTGGAGAGGACGATGCTCATCATGCTAACTTCTCCACCCGTGTTATCTTGGGGTTCCTCACGCCCTAAAGAGAGGTGACTCTGGTTGCCTAAAGCCACCTAGCCCAGAGTGGAAGATGAGCTTTAGGAACCTAGAGCACACTGCCCCAATCCTCAGTTTCTTCAGCTCTAAAAAAGGAAACACTGATGGTGGGTGCTCACCCGTGGGTGGGTCTGAGTTGGGGAGGGGAGCTTGGGGGGGGGGGTCTGTTTGGGGGAGGGGAGCTGGGATGGAGCTGGGACTATGAGGCCAAGCCCCTTCATCCTCTGCCAAAGGGCTGGGAGGCGGCTATGGGCCCAGCACTACACTCCGACCTTTGTCCTGCTGTTTTCGGTTTATGAGGTGCTTTCCTCACCCCATTATCTCATTTGATCCGCAGCCACAGCCCTTTGAGGAGACTGGGCGTCCCCATGTGCCTAATGAGGCTAGAAGCTGGTCCAAGGTCACCCCGCCTGGTGAGCAGAGACCAGAACCCAGGGCCCCTGCCTCCAGGCAGTACTCCCGGGGAACCCAGGAGAGGCAGGGAGAGTTCCTCTGCTCCACACGAGGGACATGTTTCTTTGTTTCTTTCTTCTTCTTCTTTTTCTTTTTTTAACGTGTATGTATTTTCTCGAGCGGGGGAGTGGCAAAGAGAGGGAGACGCCGAATCCGAAGCAGGTTCCAGGCTCTGAGCTGTCAGCACATGGGATTCAAACCCACGAACTGCGAGATCATGACCTGAGTGGAAGCCAGGCACTTAACTGACCAAGCCACCCAGGCGCCCCAAGGGACATGTTTCTTATCCAAGAGGTCTTGGCCCCAAAATTGCTCTCCACCTTCTTTCCCCTCAGGACATGCAGAGCCCAGGCATAGGCCCCAAGCCTGGCCTCTCTCGTTCCCCCCTCCTTGGTGTCCTCTCTGTCGGGGGTCAACCACCCTCCTTGGTGTCCTCTCTGTCAGGGGTCATCCACCCTCGCTCCCAACTCTCACCAGCTCCGGACTACGGACTACCCCCTCCCCCAGAGACGGGCCCTGTCTCTGCCCAGGGCTTTGGGTCTCCTGGGGTGGGGCCAGGCTGTTTAGGTCCTGCCCCGGGCTGCTGGTCACCTCTTATCTGCGTCTGTGGGATCGGGTGTGCTGCCGGGCAGGTCGGAGGGAGGTCACCCCTCCCATGTTTGGGTGTGTCTGCTGGGGGCGGGGGTGGAGGTGCTGGGCCTTGGCCCTGAGCCTCCCTGGGAGAGTTCCCGGATTCTCCCTACGGCCACCCCCTCCCCCAGTTCAGGGGAAGTCTGACTTCACCTGCCCTCCTGGGTGAAGCCGATAAAGTGGGTGTATTTGCGTGAAGGGTTTATTTTCAGTCTACTCTTTCCTTCCAGTTACCGGTTTCTAAGTCTTTCTCCCCTACTGGGTTGTGAGGGCCTGTGGGCAGGGACTGGGCTTACTCATCTCAGCACCGTGCACAGCGCCTGGCACACAGAAGGTGCTCGATAAATATTTGTTAAACTGCCCGGTGACTCTCCCTGCCTCTCCCTGCCCTGGCCACCACCTCCCCCTATGCACACACTGTCACATACACGGAACACGGGCGCGCACACACATCCACACTCGCCCAAGCTGGCATACGCTGAACACTCACACCCCACACCCCACACACGTTCTCCAAACCCCAGGCTCGCCCTGCCGAGGCCTGTGTTTACACTGCTCATCTCTTCCCTCACGGACAACTGAACCCCTTTGGGGAGCATTTCCTGCCCTCCTTTCTGCCCTCTCTCCCCACCAGGTGGGCTCCGATCTTCCCACCAGTCAGGACCAGTTGCAAAATTTGCAGGGCCCAGCGCAAAATGAAAACTTGGACCCTTGTTAAAAATTAGTACCAATCCCGAAACAGCCAGAGCAGGGCGTGAAAGCAGGCGTGGGGCCTTTCCCAGCGAGGCCCTCTGAACCACCACACAGGTCCCCCTCCCGTGCCTCTGTGCCCCACTGGTCTTTCAGTGCTCCACTGAATTACCAGCCGTGCAGCAATCAGAAACACATGAGTAAGTGGCCAAGTTTTTGCCATTGGGAAAATTCTCACAGAATAACTCGGATTTCTGGCTTCTCTTAAGAGACCAGAGCATCTGGGGGCGCCTGGGTGGCTCAGTTGGTTAAGTGGCCGATTTCGGCTCAGGTCATGATCTTGCGGTCCGTGAGTTCGAGCCCCGCGTCGGGCTCTGTGCTGACAGCTCAGAGCCTGGAGCCTGTTTCAGATTCTGTGTCTCCCTCTCTCTGACCCTCCCCCGTTCATGCTCTGTCTCTGTCTCAAAAATAAATAAACGTTAAAAAAAAAAAAA